TTCGTATTTTGATGGAAACGATACTTGTTGTTCTTAACTGTAGTCTGTCATTTTCATTGTGAAGTTGGGGTGGTTGCTCGATGCGTTGCTTTTCTGCATTTGGCCTGTGTTTCACTGTTTCTGTCTTTGGCTGGCTGTTTCTTCCTTCTGCTTAAAAAGTACTGTTATAATTGGAGTGTTAAATGGGCTCGTTGTGCGGTTCTCTTCATTCTTCAAATTTGTTCTGTCCATGGTTTATCTTGTAATGGACAAGTAGGTCATTGGCTCCTGTTTTCCACAAGGCTTAACTCATTCACTGCCTATGTCTTTATGTAGGTCTCTTGATTGAGAACTACTGGTGTGGCTCAGAGGCCAGCCTCCCAACGAATGCACAATGGCGAAGAAATGAAGTGTCCTTTCACCAAAACCGAGAGCTAAACAACCAACGTATTGCATGGCCTTTTCCTCTTTCTCCACCTCAGCCATCACAGCGTAAGTGGTGCCTTAGAGAAAACACCTACGCGCCATCCGCACCAGTCATCGAATATCTATGCAACTGAGGAGAAACCCAACTGTAACGTCACTGATTCCCCTTGGCAGTTCTACCAGATCCGGAGTCTCTTCTTGTTGTGCAACTGCAATTAGAGATGGCGAAATACGCTGTCCAACATGCGTGTCCATTGCTAGACGTAGGAACACTGTACTAAAATCGGTTTTATGTAACAGAAGATGGGATTTGACACAGTTCCGTGGAGGTGGGGTGTCGCGTATGTTCTTCCTTGTTACTTTGTTCTCAATTTAGGTCTGCCCATTCATGTCTTTGCAAGTTCCATTAGGCTGGTGGGGAAGTGGAAGAATCGCGAAGCTGCGTAATTGCTACCTTCATACAGATGTGGCTGCAGGTCCACACGAAACTTTTCCATATGATTTACGATTAGTGTCGCTTCCATTGTTACTGGCTCTCCTGTATAACACGGCACTGGGGCAGGTGCCATGCTCAGACGTCATTCTCAGGCCTCCTGTCACGGCTCGTCATCAATCCTCCCACCTGCAGCATATGCACTTCCTCCGCCCAGCCACGGTTTATCATCCAGCATTAGAAAGCAGGATAGATGTCCTTCACGGTCAAGTGCGCTTTTCGCTGTCACCAATGTGCTGCCCAGAGATTTCTATAGATATGAAAGAAGACATAATGCTTGGGCAAAATATGCATATTTTACGGGCAGAGGGGAGTGGGTCTACTGGCATGGCTTAGAATCCACCCCACCCGGTGAAGGTATAATGGCCCTAACGGCCAAAGCCCTGTTCTATATCTCGACAAATAAAAGTATTTTTGGATAAACTTTATGCAAGACAGATTTCCATCTATTTCTCCCTTGCAATTTGACTAGGGCACGAAGGTTGGATGGGTATCTGTTCGTTAAGCGCTTTTTTCACAAAGAGCATTTCCACTGGATTAGAGGATACTTACACAAAACAAGATTTCGCCTATTTTCAAAGTAGTCGAGACAATCACAGGGGATTGTGAAAACAACAAGATTCCCTTTAGCTGTTACCCCTTCTTTGCTTAAAAGATTAGACATGTGAATCCGTGCTTCCTCTGTTTCATGCAGATCAAGTATCAATAAAGTGTGTCAGCTGCTCCCTCCTCC